TTCCTTCCTCCCTCCCTCCCTCCCTTCCTCCCTCTGTCCCTTCCTTCCTTTGCTTCCTCCCCTTCTTTCCTTCCTTTTTTCTCTCTTTCTTTTTTCTTTCTTTCTAACAAAACAAGGAGAAAAATTAATACAGTTTCTCATCTTTATCCATATGGAAATGATTTATGTTTTTGGAAGTTTATAATTTTGAGAGAAAGCCTATCCTGGGGCAAATAGTAATCCTGCCAATCAGAATACCAAGGATCCTGAGAGGGACTCAGGTCTTTTCTACTAATCTCTGAATCACTTAGCCTCTATTTCGTCATAAGGAATGTAACCACTTTATGAAAATAATACAGATTAACCAAGCCATAGCTCTAGAAACCAGACTCCACAGGTTGCTGGGCCTCACTAGCTGTCTGAGAGCTTTAGGGCTGCCCTAGGAGATAATCGTGTCTTCCCAAGAAAGCCGAGTCCCTGGCCAATGCATGAACCATTCTCAGACTCCAGCAAGTGTTGTTTTACACTTAGTGAATCTAATTACTTAGTAGAATGAATCTGTAATTAATTTTAAAAACATAGCAAGCATTGTTATCTTGAGCTGAACAAAATAGCAGCTTCAGCTTTCTATATATATATTACATTTATTTCAATAGTTAATGCTTTTCCAATCAATGCATGTTAAACAGGATAGGGGGTTTTCATTTCTTGAAAGAGTTTGTGCCAGTTTCTTCCAGACAAGGAAAGGCAACATGGGAGGTAGGGCAGAGAAGTTGACAAATGGAAAACATGTACACAGGGAAATATGCAACAAGAAATGTACAGAACCCCACAATCACATGCTGGCAGTAAAGGGGAAAGATGTCCTTTTGTAATGAAATATGAGAAACAGGAGAAAATGGGAGGCTAAAAGGAAAAGAATAAAAAAATTATGTCAGGGTACAGAACTAGGACCTGAATTACACTCCAGAGGCAGACTCAGATAGAATGCTAATAAATTGCTCAACTAGATATTCCCATAATAAGAAGTCCAATGAGCCAAATTAAATAGAGGTCAATCAGTGACGGCCTTCACTTTGTTTGGGAACAGGCTCTTGTAAATAGGCCACAATATATTTTATTTATGCTTTTTTTCCCCAAACATGAAACATGTAATCTCAGGAAATATAGATTACTGTTTGGTTTCAAGCTCTGATTGGAGATAGTTGTTGCATATGGGTGGGGGTCAGATGGAGTGAGGTAGAAAATTACTATTTAGCACTGGCACCCAGAAAGATGGGCCATAATTCAGAAGTGCTCCAAATTACACCTATCTATAGAAGACTTCCTGCCTTTTTGAGGTGGTGGAATATGAACAGCAGTGCTTCCTGTGGTTTCTGATTTCTTCCTTCATGACACCTTTTCAGTGTTTGGTACAAGGTGCATGTATCAGGGTTTAATAAGAAGGAGACACAGTGATATAGAATGAGGGGTTTATTCCAGGGATTAGACCTCATACAAGTGTGGGATGTGATGAAGAAGTCAATGGGAGTGTGTTGCATCTGTCTGATAACAGGCTGAATTCTCTGGGTCAGCACGGCCATCAGTAACAAAAGCTGGATATGAACTAGAGGAGAACGAAAAAGAAATGGAATTAGGAGGAAAAACTGGAACCCGTATCAGCCTTTTACCAACCTCAATGTGGATGGCTTCCAGAGGGATCGAGTGCTCTCTGCCATAGAGCTGAAGACCTACCTAGCATAGGACTTGGCAAAACTGAAGACAGAGCTTTGGGAACTTCAATCACAGCTGCTTCACTAAGTGCAGGTGAGTCACCACATCAGGGAAAAGATGTGCTTGCAATCATAGAGTTTGGTGCCCCCTTCAAATGCCTGCTTCTTCAATTCTGCTTTTCCAACCTCGTGCAAATTTCCCTTAAGGCGAACCTTAACTCAGTGTGAATCAGGAGAGGAAATTCTGGAAAATACATTTCCCGATTTAGCTAAGTTGATACGGTAGAAAACTATCATAATCCATCCCTTGCCAACTTGGCATCCATGTCCACTTCTCTTAACTAAAGGTAACTTCCAAATGAAGACATTAGCAAAATGATGCTTCTACCAAATAGGATGCAACTATCAGTTCTACAGATGAAAAAACACTGAAAACAAAAGACGGCCAGGCGCAGTGGTCATGCCTGTAATCCCAGCACTTTGGGAGGCTGAGGTGGGTGGATCACTTGAGGTCAGACGTTCAAGACCAGCCTGGCCAACATGATGAACCACTCTCTACCAAAAACACAAAAATTAGCTGGGCATAGTGGTGCATGCTCTATGATTCCCCTATCAGGTTAGTGGCTTCATGCAGATTCCTGCATAATAGAGGAATTACATACCTGTAATTCCAGCTACTCTAATCACTTGAACCCAGGAGGCAGAGACTGCAGTGAGCCAAGATTGCACCACTACACGCCACCCTGGTTGATAGAGTCAAAAAAAAAAAAAAAAAAAAAAAAAAAAGAGGAGACATAGCCTCATAGGTTACTTTGTCCATTTTGGGGACGATGTGCCGTCCTTTTTTAGCTGAGATCCACTTTCCCTTCGATGTCATGTACTTTAAATGTATTGAGATATAAGGATGTTATGGGTTGAATTGTGTCTGTCAAAAAGCCATGTTGAAGTGCTAAACCCTGGACCTTGTAAATATGATCTTATTTGGAAATAGGTTCTTTGCGGATATAATCAAGAAGAAGTCATATTGGATTATGGTGGGCTCTAATTCAGTGACTGGTGTACTTATGAGAGGAGGGGAATTTGAAGACAGACACAAAGAATGTCAAGTAACAATGCAGGCAGAGATTGGACAAAGAAACATCAAAGATTACCAGCAACCATCAGAGGCTACAAGAGAGTCATTGAGCAGATTCTCCCTCAGGGCCTCTAAAAAGGAATTGACTCTGCCATCGCCTTGATTTTGGACTTTTAGCATACAGACTGCAGTAAAATTAATTTCCGTTGTTTTAAGCCACCCAATTTGTGCTACTTTGTTATAGCAGCCCTAGGGAACTAATACAAAAACTAACTATCGTTACCCCATTTTATATTAGATGGTGGATGGGAGAGAAAAAAAGAATTGGTTAATATATAACGAAATATATTTCTATTAAGAAATAAATATTTATAATCTTTTCCTTCCTAATTTCTATAACTGATCTTGTAGTCATAGCTGGTATTTATAACTTCCTTCTTTCACTACTCATTCCATATACTTGTGTCCTCAGCAAGCACATTGCCTAGTCATGGTTTCTTGCCTATTGGGGTGATCTCAATTTTCATTTTTGAGGGATTCAGTCTTTTGCAGTTGAGCCCTAATTGGGTTATTTTCCGCCTACTTTGCTTGTTACAGTAACAAAAGTAATTACAAAACTTGAAGGTATAAGATATGACCTTGAGTTCCAGGCACACTTTTTCTTACTCCTACAGGCTAGTAGTAATCCAATTTCCCTTTGATAGTCACAGTCATCCCAGCCCATACATTAATATCTTACTTTTCTTATTGATTCTTTAGCACGAGGATCCCAAAGCCGCCTGCAGGGAGTATCAACTTCTGTCTTGATGGAATCATAGCTGTATCTCCTATTAGAAGCATCTCTCCCTTGGAAACCAGAACTTCTAGACCAACAGAGTCTAAAGTTGAGAATAGAAAGAATAAATTTTGCTGTTGATCACTATGGGTAACAGTGAGAGGAGTCCGTTCCATCTTCACCCCTGGATTCCTGAATCTATGAAATCTGGATAAGGGAGAAACAGCAATATGCGTTGATGGATCATTTAGAGAATTTACTGCATCTTTCAGGACATTATCCTAGCCTTGCAAAGTGTTTTCATCCGTCTAGCACAGTAAATAAATTGTTAAAAGAAGAATTCCACCTTTCTACTGCTTTACAGTGATGGATAACAAGTTAAGACTAATGAATTCCACGATCATGAGTCTGCTATTCTTTATATGCTGCAAAGTAAGTTCCTTGGTCAAAAGCAAAGCATTATGGAATACCATGATGGGAAATAAGATATAAGAATTCTGTACGTCCACAGATGCTGATTTTGGCAAAGGTATTACAGATAGGGAAGACAAATCCCTATGAAGAGTAAGTTTTTTATGGAGCAAGAACAAAATACTGCCCTTTCATGCCTTGTGAGCAGAAGTTCATGTTGCTGAACTCACGCATATCCTCCATGTCTACCACCACGGCTATTTTGTTCATGCGCCTATTGGTCAAGGACAGAAGAAACTGAAGAGAAAAATCTGATAGAGGTCTGTAGAATGTGTCTTCTTGCCCATTATTAAGATCCATACATGCTGAGGTTTAACTTTGATGAGCATTCACATGGGTCCATTTAGGAAGATCTATCCATTTCCTTCTTCCCCAGATTTTCCTGTCACTAATTTTCCAGACATGTTTCTTCTAAGTCCCTTAGTATCCATCTAAACTATTAGCTACTGCTCATGAAGCAATGTAGATTTGTACCCCTGGCTCTCTCTCCTTTGAAGCAAAATGAACAATTAGGTACACTGCTGGAAGTTCTCCCTACTGGGAAAATTATTCTTCCTCACACCACCATTGTAGGGCCACAACGATGTAGTCATTCAGTTTTGGATGATATCAGAATATCATGCAAAAATTTCTGTAAACAAGGCCAAATATTTTTCAGTCCACTGGTCACTGAGTGCTTCCCATGAGGCCATGGGTGTAAGATTCTGAAGCTATTGTAGCACAAATAGACACCATGGATAACTGGGTCACTTGCTTATTCAATGTACTTGTGCTTGATCTCAAAAACCCTACTTACATTTGATCATGGAATGCTATACTTCATGCCTAACTTAGAGGCTGGATGGATCCACAACACTTAGTTCATCATGGGCAGTTCAGGTTGCATTATAACTTGATGGCCTATGATCAAGCTTTCAGTTTCAAACTGGTATTCTAAAGAAGAATTTTGAAGAAAAAAGAAGAATTTCTGAATTAAAAGAATAATTTTTCTGAAGAAGTTGTTATAGTTTTGCTCCAGAATTCTAAATGTCTGCTCTATGATTCACCCTATCAGGTTAGTGGCTTCATGCAGGATTCCTGCCCAATAGAGACATTTTTAGTGCCATGGAATCTACTGGATCTAGATGTAAGAGTAGTATGCATGGCAGCCTTGAACTGCTGTAGAGGCTTTTCTTATTCTAGACCCCACACAAAACTAATGACCTTACATCTTACTTGGTAAATGGATTGTAGTAGCATGCCTGATGAGATATATATTCGCTTTAAATCCACGAAGGCCCATTAGATATTGTCCCTCTTTCTTACTGGTAAGAGAGGTCAGATATAGCAACTTGTCATCATGTTCACGAATGGAGCATCTTGGCATGCTCAAAACAAGTAAATCACTACAGATTTCAATAACATATTCAGTGGATATAAACTACTGAATTTTGTGGAATTTATTTATCACTCTTTGGTATGCAAGTCTCTTAACATATCTAAAACTAGTTATTTCATCCTGTTTACCAGGTACAGTAAGCATGATATAATATCATTAATACAATGTATCTGCATGGTATCTGGTGGAATGGATAGACAATTATGGACCCTATGGACTAGATTATAACACAGGGCTGTAAAGTTGAAATAGCCCTGAAGTAGGACAGTGGAGGTATATTACTAACCCTGTTGGCTGGAAGCAAATTGCTTCTGATGATATTTACCAGAGATTAGCAAACATTCTCTGTAAAGAGCTAGAAAATGAATATTTTAGAATTTGGAGGACATACTATCTGCCATAATTACTGAAATCTGCTGTTGTAGCACAAAAACAGCCAAACATAATATATGCGTAAACGGATGTAACTGTGTTCTAATAAAACTTTATTTATAAAAATCCAGTAGTCTGAATTTGGCCCATGAGCTACAATTTGCTAATTTCTGGACTTCATTAACAGGTATAGAGAAATAAGTATTTGGCAGCTCAATGGCTCCTGACCAGGTGCTACTAGCCATATCGGTTTGTTCCGTCAATGAAACTACATTTGGAACAACAGCTGCAGTTGGAGCCAACATCTGATTGAGATATTAAAACTTCACTGTCATTCTTCAAAATTCATCTGTGTTCTGCATAGGATAAATTGGGAAAGTAAATCAGGAATTTGGTAGGAATCACCATCCTTGCGTTTTGTTTCAATTCCTGTTGGTGGCTCTAATCTTCATAATTCTTTAAGGGTTCCTTTTGTTGACTATTTTGGCATATTGCTTATTGCTGCATAATAAACTATTACAAAACTTCGGGAGTTAAAACAATAACAATTGTTTTGCTCACTAATCTGTTTTAGGCAGGTTCAATAAGGACAGCTCATCTCTGATAAACTCATGAAGATAAGACATATCATCTGGGAAGGCTTGGCTGGGGCTGGAGAACCTACTGCCAAGATAGCTCTCTCAAATGACTGGTAAGTGCTTCTTACAGTTGACTTGGAACTCATCCAGGGTTATCCACTGGATACCTTGGCTCCTCTCCACATGGACCTCTCCATGGGGATGCTTGGGCTTCCTGAAAACATGGCAGCTAGTTTCTAAGAACAAGTATTCCAGAAGGCATGGATAAAAGTTGTAAGTATTCTAAATCACTTAAAATCTGAAGTACTGGATCACTTCTGCCAAATTCCATTTATTAAGTGAATCAGTAATGCAAGCCCAGATCTAAGGGCTGGGAAATTAGACTTCACTTCTCAGTGCATAGAGTAGCAAAGGACTTGTGGCCCCATCTTTAATCCATGATAGTTCACTTTGCACAACAAAGCCAAAACTAGGAGACTGGCAAATGTTACTACCCTCAGAGGAGAGTTTTTTAAGAAAATAATATCAAATTTCACAGTTCTACGAAACCACTGGGGGCTCCACTGAGCAGTATTTCAAATAGATTATACTCTACCAAGTGAGCAAGAGAAGTTAGAGAGGTAGAGAAAAAGGCCCAAAGAAAAGAATAGAACGCAAGTATTTATTCATTAGTACTTGCTCCTTATGTATGTCAATTCCAAGAAAGTCATCAGAAAGACAGTTCCTTTCTGCTAATCTGGACATGAGTGTCTGGGATTCTCTTAAAAGTGATCTTCTCAATGCCAGGCAGCACTGGACCTTAGCATTTATCTATTTATTTGTTCATTCAACAAACATGTGTTTCATTTATATCTTTCACTTTATATTCTTGCCCAAACTATGGCAAGTGTTTATTGAGAAGACTCTACCCTTGAGGAGCCCACAGCCTTCCATGTATCTATTTAGACTATAGGTTAAAGAGGTACTTGGTCTTCCCTATAACACCTAGGTCAGTGTCTTGCTTGTAGTATTGATCCGTATTTTGTTACTGAGTGATCAGAGCATTTTTATTCCATTGGCTTTTGACATCTAAAATACTTGTTGGCTTATAAAACTCCAGAATATTTAACAATCAGCTCTCATAAGCTGGTGTGTGGGATAGTATCAAAAAGCTCTCTTCTGAGGTAGAGCTTTATCTCCTTACGAGGATAAGGCTGTCACAGCAGACGGTGCCTCAAGGATCTTTTTTTTTTTTTTTTTTTTTTTTTTTTAATCTTTAGCTAATTTAAAGCTGTCTCTCCTTATTTTGAATGGGAGGAAGAAAATAGCTGATTAGAAATAGGGGGAAAAATAGTGTCAGGATTGATGGTGGAAGAGCAGCAAAATAATTATTATTATAGTTGTAATGCTCTGCATTTATATGGCATTTTTTTCCAAAGGTCTCAGAACACTTTTCTAAATACTGCCTATAAATTCAGAAACAATTATGAAGAAGTCAGAGTGAAGCATAATTATACTAGAATTTTACTCTGGAATATAATTCAATACTCTAATACAATTTTACTCTCAAATATAATTCAGTGAAAAGTAGCCTTATTGTAAATGGAATTATTGACATACATTTGAATTTTTATGGCATATTTTCACATAGGAAGTGCCAGGATATTGGTCTTCAAGGAAAACACTAAATATAGGTGCTAACAAATTTCCATGTTATAAGGGAAATAGGGGAGAAAGTTGTCAGATAGCAGGATGAGATAAAAATCAACATTTCCTGACCATAGCCCAATATTCTTGCTAGAGGTATTTTAAATGACATGAGCCCAGGGCTCTGGTAAAAGACGAAGTCCTCTGTTCCTGGAATAGCAAGAGAAGGTTACAAATTTCTCGGAAGATGGCAGGCAGAGAGCAAGAACTGAATCCACAAAAGTGTCTAACATAGAGATTAGGAGGCAGGAGGCAAGCACGAGGGAGAAATACAGCCCACAGAGGTTTCTTTTCTGCAATATTTGGACTACTAAGGAAATAATAAATGGACTAGGGTATCTGTGAACCATCAAAAAACGTACGTAAATTTGTGTATGTGTTTGGACTCATTCATTACCATGAGGGTGTCCACAACTTTCATCAGATTTTCCTATGGTCTCCTAACCAAATGGATTAAGTAAGATTTGCCAGCCTAGAGAGATGCCTTGAGAAATGAATTTGATATTGCTTGTAGAAGAAAGTCACTTTACTGGCTTCTGCATGGTTTAGGCCTTTGCCTACCATTTTCATTCTCAGCTGAAAGACAGCACAAAGTGATAGCATGGCAAACTCTAGAGAAAGATTGCTGAGATTCAGATCCACACCCTACCACTTTGCAGTTGTGTGACTTTGAGCTGGTTAGTTGGTTATTTAACCTGTCTGCAGCTCAGTTTCCTTAAAAATGAAGATAATTATAATAGCATCTATTTCATCTGGTTTGAAGGCACACTGAGCTCCCCCACATTGATCTTCTCCCATTACGTAAAACACCATGTTCCTCCTTACCTCATAGTCTTTGTACAAGCTATTCCTTATGCATGAAAAGTCTTTCGCTCATTCCTTCCCTAGCAAATTACTGATGATCCCTTAAGGCTCAGTTTAAATTTCACTTCATCAGAAAAGCTCTGACCCCCGCATAGCTCAGTTTAGTCCCTCTCTATAATATCTGACATGATGCAGTGGTCTGCTGAAGTTGACTCACGCTGGCTAACCAGAGCTGATTGTTGAATGTTCTGGAACTGTGTGAGCTGGCAACTGCCACTGCCTGAAGCTTGAAATTAACTGTGGATATATTTACACTGCAGAAATTGGCAGATGCTATAAATCAGGATATTTTTTGAAAGCTCATTTACCAACAACCACTGTATACAGCATCCTGTATGTTTTCTTTTTCACACTTATCACAATTTTAATTATGTCTTAATTCTCTGATTGCTTATGTAATGTCTGTGTCTCTCACGAAGAAGTAGGTTTCATTAGGCAGGAAGCACATCTGCCTATTCACTGCTATACTTATAATAGTCTAGTCTGGGCATTTAACTTTGTCAAAGAAACTAATCAAAAAAAAGGTAATCTGCAAATGGCACTTATGTCACTTCCAGGCACAAGAGGAGAATTACTTAGGGATAAAGAAGTCAAGCCAATGTGACATTCTTCTTCTGAAACTCTCTCCCATGTGTCAAGTGATAGCTGGTGGTGTAATACATGATGTGGTTCTCAATATGGGGACATTAGAAGCTCCTGACAACCATAGAACTTGAGTTACTTTGTGGGATAACAATATGGCACATGTTTTCTACTCAGGATTGGTGAAATGCAGCCTATCACCTTATCAAAACTGTCTTTCTTGGTCATCTGGGTAGCCTTAGTACTCCTAGACATGCCACGATCTGTGTGCTTCTCTGCCGCCTATACTAGTCCACTTGAGTCAACTTCAGATGGGGCTACATGAATGTAAAAATAATAGCTGTGAAATAGTGTCTCCAGGGTAGTGTACTGTCCATCACCCCATGGTACTATGCAGCTGAAAGAGAATGTCACATGGGTAGTTATGATTACCTGAAGCCCATGAATTAGGAAAATATAAAGAACTCAAAAAAGACAGTCCAAATGGCTTGTCAGAGATGGAGAGCCTGGACCTGTCTCAAGAGCTGGGCTGTAGTGGTCTGAGTGTCTGCTTCCCAGGTCTTAGTGCCTTCAAACCCTGACAGCCACCTGCCTGGCCAGCAAGCCCCCCAAATACCTGGAAAAAGAGCAACTTCATTTTTCACCTGGGGCAGTTGACCTCTACTGGACCCAGTCTCCACAAAAAACTGATTCCAGTGGATCTGCTTAGGAGACAATGGGCCCTGCTCCCACCCAAGAAGTCTTGCAAAGCCAGGCAGACTTAGAGTGAGTAAAAATGGGCTCCATGGAAACAAGATATACAACTGCAAGAACACACCAAGCCACTTCCCCATCTTGAGGATATTAGTCACAGAGCTATAGATCAGTTCAGGACAAACCTGTAAGACATTTTGTAACCATAAACACAACGGAATGTCCTAAATCAATTAGGAGACAGGCCCTCCCAGTCCAGAACCTTTGAATCCTCATCCCTTAGGGGATTGATGAAATTGAAAGGTTTAAGAATGAAGACTTGGCCTAAAATTTTATCTTAGGGCCCTCAACTGCACCCATCCTGGGAGCCTGAGAAGTTGTAATATTTTCTAATCATCAGACATCAGGAAACACAGACCAACCAACCACAAACAAGCAAACAACAAATACGAGAGGCATTGCAGCAAATGGTCTCAGCCTCCTCAGATTGGCTGAGCTTATCTGGAAAGCCTGCTTTTATCTACCCCTTTCCCAGACATAAGGCAATGGGCCTCCTGGAGAATATTTCTTTCTTTTTTTTTTTTTTAATTGCATTTTAGGTTTTGGGGTACATGTGAAGAACATGCAAAATTGTTGCATAGGAACACACGTGTCACTGTGATTTGCTGCCTTCCTCCCCATCACCTACATCTGGCATTTCTCCCCTTGCTATCTCTCCCCAGCTTCCCACCCCCCACCGTCCATCCCCTATTTCCCCCCAACTGACCCCAGTGTGTAGTGCTCCCCTCCCTGTGTCCATGTGTTCTCATTGTTCAACACCCGCCTATGAGTGAGAACATGCGGTGT